GTCTCCCCAGAGCAGTCTCTGCTCTCAGGCACAGGGCACCTGAGTGCACTGCGACACAGCTATTATATGTTTCCAAAGACCAGTTCAGGATATGGACACACATTACATTTGTAGAACTACAAACACCCTTATAGCACTAGAATTAGTCAGCATTCAAATATTCATGCCATTTTCAGGGTCACAAAAATGGCAGATCCTCTCCAAAGATGTTCCTCTTCCAAAGAGAAAATTCAGTAGTGCTGTGGTTTGTAATTGTCCACTTCGCATGTGGTGCTACATGTAGCTGTATGGGGGTAATCTTTGGATTCCCAGCCCACAAAGCTGCAATTAACTTCTGGGTGACACTCTCTGCTCAGGAGCAGTGGCTGGAGGCAGCAGGTAGTTTGGCCTGGCATTGTTCTTCCTGCCTGGGGCAGGGATCAGCCAAGGTGGGGCAGGGAAGAATGCTCCTGTGAGTGCAGGTTTCTCACACACACACATGAGAGTGTGTGTGTGTGTGTGTATGTGTGTGTGTGTATGTGGTTTCCCCCTGACTATGGCGCCCTGGGAGACTACCCAAGTTGCTCACCCCTAAGGCTGGCTCTGCTGCCACAGCTGCTTCACTGGTTGGAGAGCATCTCAGGTCACTTTGTAGCACTCCATCGAGGGGGTTGTACACATGTGCATACTGTCACAGATTATTTTTGTAATGCTACAAATTGCCTCAGCTTTCTACACAGACACCATTGGAAGTTGGGCACTTCCAAAGAGAATTTCAGAAGAGCCCGTAGGAGTCCAGAGCCAGCACCTTAAGCATAGGACTGTGTGCTATTTTCTTCTCTATGGAGATTAGGTGCCAGATGTGGAGCTGCACATTAGGCATTACATAGTATCTTGAGTATCTAATTGCTCTTCTAAAGGTAGATGCTGTCAGGGTGGTCATGGTGTTCACTTTTTCCATAATAACCTGGTGACACTTCTAGGAAGTGTGAGACTTATATATAAGGCATACCTCAGTCTGTACAAGTTCAGCCCACACCTCCCTCTGCCCAGGAGAGTGCTCTGACCAACAGGCCATACAGTATGGTAAGCGGGAACCTTTTCCACCCATCCTGTTGAAGAAGCTGGGTCAATGTGCAGCCAAAAATGCAAGTGATCTGGAGTTCAAGAGAGTAAGCACATGAGAAGGAGCCTGACTGTATTCTAGTGTTTGGGGCTCTTAGCTGGAAAGGGAAGCATATTGGAGTCTAGTACCTGTTCCCACATTTTTTTTCTTGTTTTTAACTAATAACAGTATAATGAAAAGTGTACTAATAGTTCTCATTCCGGCAGGGGACCTTTCCCCTTTGATCAAGCTACAGTGGATTTTGTTTTCAGTTTTGTTTTCAGTTTTGTTTTCAGTTTCCTGATGACCAAGATGAGTTTTGTTACAAATAGCAGGGATGAGGTAGAATCAAGGGAGCAGTACCTACAGAACAGATAATATTATAGGAAATAATAAATATATTTGCAGACAGGAATTGTAGGAAGAAAAGGAAAGTTCAGGGGGAAATTTGAGAGCACTTGAGAGAAATGGAAAGTCTGAAATAAAGAGAATGGTACTGAGGAGACTGAACTGGGTTTTTGAGAAAACCTCTTATCTAAGGGAATACTCTATCTGAAATAATTTGCTAAAGGAAGAGAAAATAAGACAGTTTAGTTTGGTCAAGAGATATTAAACAAGGATGTGTCATCACAATTGTTGAAAAATATGTATTATAACCTTTATTTTAGGGTTGGGAAAAAAATACAAGAACTGGTGAAATGACTTGTCCAAGGTCACCAAGCAGACCTGATGCCCCTTAAAATTGTTTTGTCTTAGTGTAAGTTGCCCTTGGCCTTTGTTGGGAAGGGCAGCATATATGTTAGAATAGGCTCATAACTAAAAAATAAGAGTTTGATAGCAGGTAGTAGCAGGATCAAGAGTGGCTGGATATAAGCCAGTTGTGGAGGCTGAAGTGTTGTACCTTTTCACAGTGAAGCTATAACAGCTTCACAGGCTGTTGTGGTTCAAGAAGAATTCCAAGGCAGAGGGGAGGAAAATTTGTTAGAAAAAGTGAAGATTATTAAAAACCTAGAGGAAACTGACTTCATGCTGTAGTAGATTAAAACAGTCAAGTGAGTGAGGTATGTGAAGCAGTATAGTAAAGATTGGAAAGTGACTTAGTAAAGATAGTAAAGTCACTTATTTGGGGACTAAGGAGCTTAAGTGGGCAGAGGGGAGTTGATGCTCTAACTCAGGGATCAGTAAATGATCCAGTGGTGAGATGGAATGACTCAGCTTGGATTTAAGGTGGGCTGGTGTTAGGACCTAGCTTCCATCACTTCCTTCTGCTACCCAGTCATGGCACAGCATGGGCCAGGTCACCAGACCACAGTGCAGTACAGTGTAACACAGCATGGGCAACTGCCTCCTCCTCCCCACACTGCCAAATCCTACTGACATTCTGCTCTATAGGCTAGATCCATGGGCTCCATGGACCATAGATTGCCATCCCCTGCTGTAACTAAAGGACATGGACATCCTTTTAGACATCTTGGATTTATGTCAACTCCCCTCCACTGTTTTTTGTGACATTGGGTTCTGTCCATGCTAACTGGGATAGATCTGTGTATGCAAATGATTGCTGGATGAATTTCTATTTATCCAAAGGTTGTAAAAGTTTAGAATAAGCTTTGAATTAGTAACATCCCCACTGCAGGTGACTGCAGAAATCAGGAAAGTTACTTCCTTACGTATTTATTTTAAGATCCAAAGGTCAAGCAAAGGATTTACTAGGGAATGGGCAGTAGCAAAGTTCTCACAATACAACAGAAGAAGAGATTAATAAGAATGTCTGTAAAGTGAGGAGCAAGGCCAGAGTGACGGGGCAAATCAACGGAAGATGAAAAGGACGAGGAGAAGTAGTTTTATTCAGAGACCAAATTATATTAGAAATAGCAGACATGGGAAGGGGAGATGAGGAAGGAGAAATAAACAAATTCTGGAAGGAAATAAAGAAGTGGACTCATCTCCCTTTGCCGAGAAAAGACTGGAATTTGAAGGGGAAGGTAGGTAAGAGGAAAAAAAAGGTTGGTTTAAAGGATGCAGCAAGGTTTGCTTATATCTTTTAGAAAGAAGACCAAGGAACAGTTTTTTGCACAACACAAAGGAATTAAATGAGCTACCAGTAATACATTTCTATCATAACAGCATGATAAAATAATTAAAATCAATTTAATTAAACTGCAGAAAGTGAAGCTGGTTTATATTTATTTAAGTAATTATCATTATGGCTAACATTTCACTGGTTACATTGGTTAAATGAGTGGGAAATTATAAGTTTGCATAGCTGAAGCTGGATCTAAATCAGGCAAGCCAATTTAAATAAAATCATTTTGGTTTTCATCAATTACACTTCCAATGAAGTGCATAAATGCAAAGCTGAATGTCTTTACACCGAAAAAAACTAAAATAACAAAAAAAGAAGTATAATGATATAAGACAAAAGTACATTCTTGCTAGTGCTGAGAAAGTAGGTAATTTATTGCATTATAATGAGAATTCTTTGATAACAATGGGTGATTGTGACCACTGTTGTCTACTGACTATCAATTATTGTCATAAAGAATGAAACTGATGATAGGTCTCCAAATGAAAAGAGGTGGCAATGAAGGAACATGAATATTACCAGTACAGGCTAGATGCTCCAAGTTAAGGGTCACATAGATTGACAAGAAGATTAGATTAATCTTGAAACTGCAAAGAATACAAATAAAATGCTAGGTACTGCTCCTAAAGTTATTCACGTGTTATTCTCAGCTAACTCCTATTTTGGGCCTCTTTTATGCATTATACTAAAGGCTGTGATTTGCCATGGTAACTGTTTGGGGAAGATCATGGATAAGTGAAGGTAAAAATGTCAGAAGTTCTGAAGCTGTGATAGGAATAACAACTCCGATGTTTCCTCTTTCTGAACAAGTTATAGGGAGTAATCCTATGCATGAAGGAGGATGGACTAGGGATGACATAATTTAATAAATAAATTCATCTCCACTTCTGATGCTTTCTGGTCTTCATGTTTTATCCTGCCTGGTGACATAGTCATTGGCAACAAGTAAAATTACACCGCCTGTTTCTACTATCCATCTGGTCGTCTTAATGTCACCCACACATAGGCCCATATATCCACCCACCTGCTCATATTTTCTCTCACATAGAACACATTCATTCTCTCACTCATGTAATTTATTCATCCCAACATGCACTTGTGCAATTGCTGTTCAGTTTTTGTTTACTGGTCGCTGTAGCAATATTTAAACAGATGTCTATGTACATTTAAAGAGCACATCACTTCTCACTCGCATGCATGCACAGTCTTCATTCTAATTTCTTCTGTCAGTATCATCCTCTGTTTGCATAGTTTGTTGGTATTTCTATTTGGTGGTTTTGTAATATGATGTCTTCTCCCATCTGTGAAATAAGACAAATTAAGTTCTAAAAAAGTTTAAAAACATTTTAAGAATAAAAGCCCCCTATATAATCTGAAGTCCCATTTAATAGATGCTTTCTCATATTGACCTGTACCATTCCTTCTTCCTCCACAAAGTTCTAGTTGGATTATGGTGAAAGGGTTGATGGGTTGGGCTTTCAACAGTGAGGGCCCTTTGCAAGTGAATTAATGCTTCATTCTTTTGCTCCATTCAAACGAGGAGTAATTCAGATGGAGGATCCAATGGCAGATTCTCTTTTTCTCACCAGTAGGAGGATGGACTTGCTAGCTAGAAATTGAGAAAATGTGCAGATTCAAGTGTCCAAATATTTCCTGAATAGTGAGATCTCCAAACATAAATATTCACTTATGTCTATCAGTAGACCCATCCTTTGAGGAAACTAATCTATATTGCCTAACAATCCTTGTTTGTATATGTCTATAAGTATACATAATCAATAATTATTGACTTCAGTTATGTGTCATTCATTGAAATTTTTTCCCTCTTAGATTAATACCTTTAGCATGAAAGCAGTAGACTTTGGAATGTTAAGGAAAATGCTTGTTGAGCACAGTCATGTGGGTTACGGAGCTGGATGGTATCTGGACCGAATCACCATCCAGGAATCAGGCGAAAACAACATCCAGTACGTCTTCTCATGCCAAGAATGGTTAGACAGCGGAGTTGGTGATGGACAGATTCAGCGAGAGCTGAGACTTCTTGGAATAGTCAAGAAGGAGCACTTAACAAGAAGTATTTGGGGTGAGATGCCAACATCCTTTTACACGTCTGTTTTTGTTGTATTTTATATTTATTTTCCCAAGACAAGTCCATTGAAACTAAAAATACAGTAGGAGAGTAGTACAACTTTGTTCTGTGTAGCATCTCTTATACAAGTGTCTTCTTAAGCATTTTCAAGGCTGAAAATACAGTTATAAAGTTAAGAGGAAAAACACCAGTAATCATACAGAAAGAGAGATGAAGAAATATAGACAATACAGAAAGTAGGCTTTTAGATGAGGTGTGAAAATATTGTTAATGAGGCAGAAAGAAAGTAGGTTGTTCCATATGGTAGTAACTGCGGAGCAGAAGGCTCTTGCAATACCGATGAGAACACACGAAGAGACACAAAAATCTCTCTTTTAGAACAATGAGATTTTCCCATATGCTCACATGTTTGTCAATGGCTTTTGCCATTATTCACATTGTGTTTTCTTTTAAATGATACACCTGCAGTGACAGTTCTCACAAGTACTTTGGTTAGGGTTGACTGGAAACCATAATTCTGTTCAAAATGTGAAATGCGAAAACTAGACTTCAGAATGAGTTTGGACAATGAAAAGAATTAAGTATTTAATCCTTTGTCACTATACCAAATTGTGGAATCTCTTTCACTGGAGATTTTTCAGGAAGAGGCTGAATAAGGCTTCTCTCTGGGATTATTTAAGAATAATGAATCCTGCATTTGTGCTGAGGATGACTCTTGAAATCCCTTTTCAAACCTGTGAATGATTCTATGGATATCATATCTTCCCCCTATACCTTAAATACTTCTGAAAGGGAATAAAATATTACTCTAGGTCTGTTTATGGCACCTAAACCAGAAATGTCAGACCACTCTGCAGGCTAAGACCTAACCAATCTGAACATTAGAAACCACATTCAAATTCTGCAGTGCTTTAATATAACTTAGTGACTAAAGTTACCTATGGATGCTCCCTTTTAAATTATGTTTTGATTAAAGCTCAGGAAGTAATACGTATGTCCAGTATTTGCTGCATATTTGCCATGCAGCTTTTGTTCCAGTTTACAGGAACAATGTTGCTGAGGCAACAGAAACACAGAACAGCTTGGAAATATGTGTATAAGACCAATAGTTAACAACAACCTCCTAAATTTCTGAATATCCATCAAAATAGTTGCCATTTTAAAAACAAGAACAATGAACTACTGCACCCAGAATGTATCGTTGTCCCCCAAATCCAGATTCAGGTTCTCTCTCAACACCCATGACTAGTGATATTCAGTTCAGGATGCATAACTACCTCAAAATTATATTAGCTGGAAGAAGAGAGCCTGTCTTAAAGGTCAGGAAATGTAGAGATGAAGTGAGAACTGCTAAAAGTCAAGCTGAATGAGGCTTTGCAAAGAAAATTAAAACAAATAGCAAAAGGTTCCTCAGCCATATTTAATAAAAAAGAGACAAGGGAAAGTAGAAATTGGGCTGTTGTGCACTATACATGGAACTGAGATGTATCGTTACATATACCCCCAAAAAACTGGATAGTTTGCCCCACTTTTGGATAGGGTGACAGTGTTGACAGTGGGGGCAATGGCAGGATGGCTAAGGAGAATGAGGAAGCGCAAATGAACATTACAGTATCCAAGCTGTAAATAAAATTCAGACAACTTAATGCACTTAAACTGGGGAGATAGGCTAATTCTTGAATTCACCCCAGAATTCCAAAAGAACCAGGGTATGAAATCACACTTCTAATGGCAAGAGTTTTAAGTAACTGTCAAGTCAAAAGTGTTTTTAACTTAAAAATAGTAAATACAGTACTTATATTTAAGAACGGAGGAAAAGTGATTACAGCAACTGTAGGCCAATTTGTCTCTTCTCAATAGCAAGCAAGGTTTTAGAGCAAATTTTGAAGGAAAGAATAATTAAAGGCATGGAAGTAAATAGAAATGTGATAAAATGCAATTGAGATATGTTTGAAGGTAGACCATGCCACCCTAAGCTGGTATCTCTCTTTGATAATTGATGTGTTAGGAAAGGGAAATGATGTATATCTCATGTAGCTGCATTTCAGTGAAGCATTTGGTATGATGCCATGTAGAAAATTATTAATTAAGCTGGAGAAGATAATAATTATATGACAAACTGTAAGGTTCATAAAGAACTTGCTGAAAGACTGATGACAATGAATTGTGGTAAAAAGGGAACCATTGGGTTAGGGAGACATAACTAGTACAGTTCCTCAAGAATTAACCTGCTTTTATTTAATATGTTCCTTAGTGATTTTGGCACAAAGAGTAGGAGGAATTCACTGGGTGAATTTCCTGACGATACAAAGTTAGGAGGTATTGTTAATATAGAGGAAGATCAGAATATCATACATGGCAGACGACCTTGAGCATTAGAGAAATAGCAATGGAATGGAATATTATATTACAAGGGGCAAACTCATTCTCTTAGTAACTATTAAGTTAAGATAATAAGGTACAACTATTATCTAACTATTAATAAGATAATAAAGTACAAGAAGGACATTTGTTGGGTGGAAATGGCAGAAGAGGAGACATACCTGAGAATATTCTCTCATCACAGGATGATAGTGAGCCAACAAGGTGATGCAGATGTAGAAAATGGCAACCATAACCCTAGGACGCATCTGTCAAGATATTTCCAGTAAAGACAGAGAAATATAATGCTATTGCACATGGCACTAGTAAAGCTTGATTTAGAATACTTTGTACAATTCTAGTAATCTATTTCCAAGAACAACTAATTTAAATGTAAATAGCTACTGAGGTTGGCTAAGAGGTTCAAGGGGTGTCATGGCCTGTACTAAGAGTAGAATCTAAAACAGTTCAGTTTATTTAGCTTAATAGAAAGATGTCTGAGAGTGGAGACAATTGCTGTCTACAAAGACATCAGTGGGGAAAGCACAAGAGAAAAAAATAGAGCTATTTGAAGTTGAAGGGCAATGCTGGTGCAAAATCAAATGTGTATAAACTGAAAATAATTATATTTAGGTTAAAATTAGAAGAAAGTTTGTAATCTTCAAAAGCACGGGATTTGGAAACAGATTCCCAAAATAATAGCGGGGGCAAAAAAGCAAAATTGCTTGAAGATGAGCTAGGTAATGCCTTCTGTTTGTTTTAAGATGAAGCTTGATGATTTTATGAAAGGATGATATGATGTGATTGTCTGCAATAGTGACGGACTGGACTCAGTGACCCGTGAATTCACTTCCAGACCTTTGGGCTCCTATAGACATGCAGCAAGGCTGTTCCAACACACATTGGAGAAGACTCGATTAATCAAGTCTGCTGGAGTGTGGAAATTAATGCACTCCAGCAGCCCCCAGTGTCATGTGTAGCAGCATCCTCATGCTGAAAATGATCGCAGGGTGCTTTGAACTAAACTGGTTCAATGAACTTTAGTTCAAAATGCCCCATCGCCATTTTTCAGTATGGAAATGCTGATACACGTGACACTTAGCTGCATTTAATTAGCACAACTTGTTAATTAAAGTGCCTTCCTCCCTGCCCTCCTCCCCTCCGCCTTCCAGAGGATGTCTTTAAATGCACTTTGTTCCTAGGTAGACATCCACTGACATTTTAAATTTTCCATCTTTCAGTTCCAGAAAAACTAAAAATTCATGCCATGTGACAATGGGGGATGGCATATCATTGTTTCACTTTCATTTGCTTTCATTGGTATAATTGTTTTTGTTTATTTCTAACTTCAGTTGATTTTGAAATATTAGCCTTAAATCTGCAGCATCTCAATTGCTAAAAAAGATCTCATAGATCATATTCAGAATATTGTCTTCCAAAATAACTGAGGCCTGTAGCATTGACTATACAGGGGTAGTTAAATTATAACTGGGGATATTACCAGTTGTCACAGTTAGCCAGTATGACTTTACAGGGAAATTATGACAATAAATGGAAAATCATTGGTCATATTATTTACATGAATTTGCATTAAATTCAAACCACTTTTGGCATCCCATCATAGGGTAAAATCTCATTGTTAAACAAATGGGGTCTGATCCTGCATTTCCTGTGCAACCAAAATACTTTCTGGTTTCTGTTGGACCCTGGTGTTCTCCGAGTATCTAAAAACAGGCATTTGCTTTAAAAAGTGACTATTATTCCTTTTCTTTCTCTACTATAATCATAAAACTCTTAGAAACCTATGTCTGTCATGGTTTTAATGCTTTCTTAGATCTTGAATCAGTTAAATATATGCATCACTATTTAGGACAATTTTTAAGAATTTAATAAAGTTAAGGGCATTCTTATGTGCTGTCCTGAAAATACGTTTTCCTGAACTGGGGCCATAACTAGAAGTCTTCATAAGAACAAAATGTATCTGTTAAAATCCGATAAATGACAAGGATTTCAGTAAATTTGAGGAACCACCTTAAGCAGAGGATATTGACATGGTTTTGTACCTGCTGGACTAATTTGAAACTTAAAGAATTTTCTTACTACCACCTGGCTCGTGAACAGTGCAGATTTCAAGAGCATAGTTTAGGTGCATAACTGAACTGTTGAAATCCAGTAAAATGACTGACAACTTGCAACATCTTGTTGAGAAATCAAAGTTCAGGGTATTTTTTTCTGTGTACTGAGTGCATGGTAATGAATGAGTGTAACAAATCCCAAGAGTCTAGATCAATGGGATAATGGCAATGAATGCTAGTTCACTCACTCACTCCTTAGTACAAGCATCTGTTCTATTCTGGATTTTAGGTATAGATTATTAATTAATTATCTGCTTTTTTTTTTACTAGGGACTTGGGATGTAATTGTTGTGACTGATGATGTTTCTACTAGTTTCACAACCCCCAAAATGACTTTGTATGTTTGTGGTGAAAAAGGAGTGCATGCTTCAGTCGTATTCCCCAAAGGATCTCCTAAAAAGGGCCAGAATTATCATACATCACTGGAATTAGATAAGAAATTCCATGCTATATGCAAAGTTCGCCTGGAAATTGAAGAAGCCAGAAATGGAGAGACTTGGTATTGCCAAGAGGTAAAGAATTTAGTTCAGTTTAGTTTTAATCTCTTTTTTTCATAATCTTACAGTTTTTTTTCCAGTTGAAGTTTCCAGTTATGGTCAACATTTCATAGCTCCTTATTTATGAAGTAAGTGGATCTGCTAACTGTTGTGGTTAACCTTGTGATATAGTGCTTGTCAGTGGGCACGTTTAGATAAGGCATTTACTGCAAAGCTGACTCATTAGCTCCGCAGTAAAATGCCACTGTCTACATATGTACTGCTATTAGGATGGAATAAATTAATTAACTCTGCTGTAGGCTAGTACTGCCAGACACAAGTACTATCCTGTGGAGGAGTTATTCACTCTGCCACAATACACATGTAGATGCTGACAGGGCTGGCTGGGTCATGAGGGTGTTTCTGTGCGAGGACTCTCTGCCACCTAGCCCCACACTAAAGCATCCTTGTGGCCCAGCTGTTCCTTCCACAACATACTGAGCTGGGTCAGAGCAGCTGACCCCTGGGGCCTTCTGCTCCTCAGTGTGCTGCAGTCTCAGGCACACATGCAAATACAGTGCCTGGAAGCAACTGCACTGGAGTTTATTCAGTCACATTAATTGCATGTGTGGATGCTTCCACCATGCTCCAAACAAGGAGACTAGGTTTGAATAGCAAAAATCTTGTAAATTTAAAGCTGGATTTCTTTAGGGCAGCTTGATATAGGAGCCAATGTCTGCAGCTTTTCCAGTGTTATCTTTTCAAAGCTATGGCTGCTGGCATGCCTGGCAGTATTTACATAATTCAGAACTGATTATTATATATTATGGACCCAGGATCCAAGACAGTTAATGAAGTGAGACATTGGAAATCCTTTTTAACAAAAATATCTGCCACTTAACTTGGCATCTTAGAAAAAGAAATGAATAGTAAAAGTGACAGTCTTTCTTCTGATGTCTAAGAAGGTGAAGTTAACATCTTACATCACATCAAAATGGTATGGTACTACACTAAAAGATCTGTATCTACTTTGCTGGTAAAACAAAGGAAACCTAAGGGAAAGAATGATCCAGTTCAAATGTTAGTTATATCTTTGTCTCTGACTATTTATATATTTCAGTGACAAAGATGTTAATTTTTACTCCTAATACAAGATATTAATCTGCAGGGTGAACACCTGACATTTATCTTCTAGGCAAGTTGTTAATTTCATCTTCCTTTACACATTAAATATAACAACTGCTTCCACAAGATTATAGAAGACAGTTGATCACAATAGAAATTTGTATCCTGAGAACAGAAACTTGATAATTACAACAATGATAGCCATTAGCCTTCTTTATTTCATTAACTCACAGTAGTGGTTCAAAGATCAGTTAGAAAAAGATCGCTATGGATAATGAAAATATTCACACTTACATTAGGGAGAATTAGCTATAAAAAAGATATAAACTTTCCTACTTCAGAGAATAAGTGAAGCACTGGCTTCCTGGACTTAAAAAGACATTTACCTGGGCACATCTACACATGTGTTAACACACTTTAGTTAATGCGTATTAAATCTAGTACCATTGGGTACCTATACACAAGTGCAGAAGCTGCTCCAATGCACTGTAATTACAGCATGTTGGAGCAGACTCAAAGAGTCGAGTCTTCTGAAGCATGGTAATTACTACGCTCCAGCCAGCCTCCATGCCTCGTGTATCAGTGTTCCCACACTTCAAAATGGCAACAGGGGACACTTTATCTAAAATTTGTCCAACACACTTTAGATAAAGCATCCCCACTGCCATTTTGAAGCACAGGGACACTGATACATGAGATGCAGAAGTTGGCTGGAGCACAGTAATTACCACACTTTGCAGACTCAATCAGTGAGCTTTAGATAAAGCATTCCTGCCACCAATTTGAAGTGTGGGGATACTAATACATGAGATGCTCTGGGTGCTTTAATTAGAGCAGCT